ATTTTTTGGTTTCAAACCGAAACCGGTTTCATAAAGAGGTTGCGGAAGAGTTTTGTACTGTAGTACAATATTTGCATGACGTCACACTGTAATGACGTCACTGCCTTGGCAACCGACGTCACGATGCATGTCAGTTGTCATCGCCACGTACAGCCTCCTACAGTAAACTACTCCGTAGCACCCCGTTTCTTGGTTTGCAGTTGCTTTATTTGGCTAACATCACTGGTGGAAACATTGCGTTTATGTTTTTCGACGGATATAATGTCTCAGTTCAACTCACACTTAAACAGCGACACGGCAACGTTCGCAATGTTTACATTCCCACAATGCATTTTAGTTGTAGAATGAATGAATTCACGTGTTTGTTAAGAATGAAAAAATAGTTACGTCAGAATGTGACCTAATTGAGAGGTCATCGGTTATCCAATCAAATCGTTAGAATCTCAGGTCAAGTCGTTACGACACAGGTCAACGCGATACGACACTCGTGTGACGTACGAGATTAGTATGCAACTACCCATACGTTGACCACGTGGGTAATAAATACAAGTACATTGGCTCCTATTGACGTGGTAGCTACTGTATTCCTATCGGATATGCATGTACATTGGCTCCTATTGACGTGGTAGCTACTGTATTCCTATCGGATATACATGTACATTGGCTCCTATTGACGTGGTAGCTTCTGTGGTGCTGTCGGATATACATGTAAATTGGCTCCTATTGACGTGGTAGCTACTGTGGTGCTGTCGGATATACATGTACATTGGCTCCTATTGACGTGGTAGCTACTGTGCTGTCGGATGTCGGATTGACGTGGTAGCTACTGTGGTGCTGTATACATGTACATTGGCTCCTATTGACGTGGTAGCTACTGTGGTGCTGTCGGATATACATGTACATTGGCTCCTATTGACGTGGTAGCTACTGTGATGCTGTCGGATATACATGTACATTGGCTCCTATTGACGTGGTAGCTACTGTGGTGCTGTCGGATATACATGTACATTGGCTCCTATTGACGCGGTAGCTACTGTGATGCTGTCGGATATACATGTACATTGGCTCCTATTGACGCGGTAGCTACTGTGATGCTGTCGGATATGCATGTACATTGGCTCCTATTGACGTGGTAGCTACTGTGCTGCTGTCGGATATACATGTACATTGGCTCCTATTGACGTGGTAGCTACTGTGCTGCTGTCGGATATACATGTACATTGGCTCCTATTGACGTGGTAGCTACTGTGGTGCTGTCGGATATACATGTACATTGGCTCCTATTGACGTGGTAGCTACTGTGGTGCTGTCGGATATACATGTACATTGGCTCCTATTGACGTGGTAGCTACTGTGGTGCTGTCGGATACACATGTACATTGGCTCCTATTGACGTGGTATATAAAGCTGCATCGTCCCCACCCTGCAGTTGTATCGATAATCATGTATCGGCCGCAGTTTAATTAGATAGATTGATTATTCATCAATACAAGATGATGACGTACACGTTGACGTTGTTAATATACAGTCCTGCTGAGCCCTGACTGAAACATGGAAGATATTTTCTGTCATTGCCCTGGTATGTCTATCGATTAGGGGACGTAACAAAGGCTCGTATATCCAAATTGTTTCCTGGACGTCGGGCCCACTAACAAGACCAAGCAGATAAGTAGCCTCTAGGTGAGTGATCTGTAGAATATAGGCGACTCTTTGTGTTGACTGAATTCCTGTCAGTGGCGAAAACTATAGTATGTGGAATCTTTGAAGGGACATAAAAAGAAGAATGATGCAAAAAGTGTTAAAGTCAACGATAGCGCAACAATGCGACGTGACATTTCGGCCATTTGCCGCCTCGTGAACTCCTATGGAATATGTCAAATAGGCGTTAAAATGTGAGTTAATGCTACATATTGATAATAGCGCATTGTTGTGCTTGTCCATAGATGCTGCACATGAACACAACTAAATTAATCTCCACACGCGCAGAAATGGATTTTCCCCTTTCAAATTTCAGTGGTCTTAAATTAGCTCCAACTACTTTAAACCATTCAATAGACCACATGGACCTTTTTGTTTAAAATTTTAATACAAAATTATGTATGATTAGCGGAAAATTTGAATGTTTGTTTTTTGAGTATGATAAATGTATGACTGGGTACAAGCGCACTTAGTCAATTTGCACAGTGTAATGAAAATGTAAATTGCGAAATTAAGGTAAAACTGATATACATATGTGAAAGACATGTCATCACTGTAGTAACCGGGACATGGTAAGGACGCGTCATACGGCCACGTCCGTTGAGACAATGTGAACAAAAGCGCCATATAGAACGGCATGCAGCCTCTCAGAATTACAAAGTATATCTGATCGGAACTGCCTTTTTGGGACAGGTCTTGAATGCAGAAGACTTCCCGTCCGGTGTTAACAACTTCTTCAAATGCGATGTGGGTCGTGTCAGGAATGCAGAGTATGGCGTGATCAGCGCTGGGGAACTGTTGTCATACTCGTTTTGCCGCAAACTGCATACAAAATGCCGATATATTTGGAGGTGAAAGAGTAATGATGCGGGTGGTTATTAACCACACTTATGGAATATACCCTTTACAATGACATCCTGCAGCCCATTATGAAACAATGAAATACGGTCTTTCAGCACGGTGCTTCGTCACATATAACAACATAATTCGTACGGAACAACAATGTAACAACCGTACCGTGTTGGGTTACCCTGTAGGACAGCGTACTCAGGAAACGCAGAGACTGAGGCAGTGTGCACATGCGCCACTAGCGAATGCATGACCTGTACTGTGGTTTATTCTCGTATATACATGTTTGGTAACTGTGTACCTGTTGTTTCCATGGACACAAACATTCCAGTTATTAATGACTTATTGTGTTTTAGTGTTATCAGTTCTCATTTAACGTCACATCATTCACGGACTAAACTTGATTGAGACGATTTGTTGTTTAATAGTTGTCTTCATCGGATGTTTGATGTCTGTATGCTGTTTGGATGAAATGCTTGGTCATTGTTTGAATATCTCGTAATACTCTTTTGGAATGTTAAAGGTGTTGTGCGACATTAAACAGTCTCTTGATTAGCTTGATGAAGGTCTAATGTGAATTTGAGATTGCCACCAGGAGCTGCTGACGCCGCCTTCTATCAAAGCGTGAGGCACTATGAGAGTCAATTAATGGGATGGTCCAAGGACAGGTGTATTCTCCGCATCACCATTCATCATAACAATACTTCAGGAGAATAACTTCTTTGAGTGGCGTTTAGAAGTTGGTGTGATGAACAACGGGGAGAAATCAATGGATATACAACTTGTTTATTATTAATGTGAGCGACGTGTCGGTGTAGCTACTAACACTTGCTGGATAACGGTGTTAGTAGTTACACCGACACGTCGGTCAGAAACAACTAAAGAAGTTGTATATCCATAAAACTCTCGCCGTTGTTCATGAACATACACACAAGTACTCATATTTAAATGTAATTATTCACATAGTCATGTTTGAACATTGATATTCAAGTATTGCACTCAAGGGTCTCTTCCGTCCGTCTAGTACAACTCTACCCTGTATATTTTCAACAATATATAGAGAGGACACTGTGTTATCCACACAAAAATAATTATAGATGAATTAGATCAGGGTATGCCACAGTGTATCCATTGTTCACCTGTCAAACATAGTGTATGAAGTGCTATATTAGTTTGAATGATCAATGAAATAATTATTGCTGAATTAAACTATATTTCATTTCAATCTGTAATGTTTGTCATTCATGAGTACCATTCTGCGCCGATTCCAGAACACCGCATGACATTCCATCCCTACCCACCCTGCTTCCATTCTGTCACATGCAGTAACATCTTAACCCTGCTCTAATCCCAGCACACCACAACCCTGCCGCTGTCCAGCACATAGAACCACCCCGTAACGGTTGCTGCCACCAACCATCAAAGTCCAACTTACTAACACATGTGTTCAGACCACATCTGAGTACTGTTCAGGTGAAGAATGTTCTGTCATTGTTTAGACCACCTCCTTGTGATCTGCACATACTCCCTGAGACACACTGGAGTATTTCTATAAGAAGCACAGTGAACGCCCACCACTCAGCGCTTGGGGACGGATAATGTTATCTGAGGAAGGTGTGCGTGGGTTATGATAACGTAAAGGGCGTGGATACCCCGTCAAACCACCTTGTCAATCAACAAATATGTTAAAAGAGCTTAGTACTCCTGACTCCAAACAACCTCATGTATGCTGACCATTACAACAAACCCCTTCCGGAAGGAGCGTGTTGTATCTTTCTCCAGAAGCTGGCATTCATCTTCAGTTCAGCTCTGCAGCATGATGTATGTATTACGGAGCAAGTGTTTATGTTCCCAGTACAAAACGGGTTGTTTCACAGAGCTTCACTTCACTAGACCTCAGAATAGAGGAAGAATAGCTGCCTGTCGATTATCCTCGTGGCCAATCAATTCGAGGCTTTCAATTACCCGTTTTGTCAAGTAACGCATACACTCTTGAACTCTCTCCAATATTCACTTGGTAGAGAACTCCAGCGATGTATATTTGCATATGCACGAGGAATGAGATGGCGATGCACGGGTACGATTGAGTCACATCAAGGTTGCGCCTTGTTCTTCCCTTGTTGGAAATGTTTTACTACACCCTATATACATATTTACAGCTTTAATGACAGATAGTTGTCAATATGGTGTTCAACCCACGGATTCTTCTTGTTTTAAAAATGTTATTTGAGATGTGTTCTCAGTGTCTATTGCTTCTAATGAAGTCAAGAAACAGTGGCCTTACATAATGGACGTATACTCCTGATGCATGTTGTCGTAAACATTTTACTGCATCCTATGTTTAAAATAACAACAACGATACGCGCGTTGTTGAAGTTAATATTTTCAGCAACGGTCCGTTGCTAGTGTGTAACCATTTAGGTGGCATTGTGCTATATATCTTACAGTTGTTGACAATGAGCTGGAATCATTGATGCGTCTATATCAAAGCGATTGTCCCTGGACACAGCATCACCTTCCTCCCTATCTCAGCCACAGCAGTCTATACCTGGAGGGCGGCACACACGGACGCAAGGTAGGTGGAACTAGAAATATACGAGGAAAGTCTTAGGAATTGATATGCTATTATTAGATGCGTGCTACCCTATCGCGAGACAAAGTAGAGGTTGTGCGTTCGTACATAGAAATAATAATGTGAAGATTGGAAAGTTTCATGTCATGTACCACATCCATACACTAATCAATATTGAGACAAACATATCAAAGAGATAAACGCCGCCATGTAGCTGGAATATTGCTGAGTGCGGTGTAAAACAAAACTCACTCAACCTGAAAAACGTAATTTACATCTCAAATCGTAAATATATTTATGAATGTTATGTAAATAGCTTTGTGAGGGAACATGAGCACATTATCTCATGACATTTCAAACAATAAGAAACTTCTAAATAGTTTATTTAGTGGGGAAATACCGATTTACTGTAACCGTGAGTCAGGTACAGGTTATGTATAAAGACATGTTTTAGCTGTCCGGATTGTCAGTTATCCAACCTAACTACGCCCATGATAGTGAACAGTGATAATTGCTCTAACAATAGGTCATATAAAAAAACCCAATTTAACAGCACCAATGACAAAACCAGGTTGACCTTTGCTCTGCCATACAGTGGGTGGCATGTATCATAATGAGATTTGATAAGTATGATGTATATGCAATATGACAGGCATCATTTGGCATGTGTTGTTATTTTTACTGTTAGACATTCGCACGATGTTTTATAGGGGTGTTCTCGTTCACCCAGCAGCTTAAGGGGATTAACAGCGTTTTATATGTTTCTTAAAGGGTTATTTACAATTCCGATTTGATCTTAATAATGGCTGGCATTATACTGCAAACATCATTTTGACAATGGAATGGTGACAGTAAGTAAATATGTGATGTACACAAATAAACTTGTTAAAAGAGCTGAGTATTGGGATTTCCATCTTCATCCTTATCCTTATCTGTATGTGCAGCTGTGGCCACCAATGGTGACTGCCTAGCATTGCCTTGAAAAGAAACAAAAGTGAAATGAAACCTAAGTTAACATAAAAGTAACTTGACAGGAGAGGCCGCATTGTATATGCTATTTTGATAAATTCATAGAAGTCAGTTTTCAAGAAAGAATGTTTATGTTCAGAAATGGCATGCTTGGTTTGGTTACATTCTAACATTGAACAAACAACTGGAAGAAGTTATTAGGGTAAACACCAATCACAATATAGAATAGCCTCTCCACCAGTAATCAGTGACAGTCTGTCAATATTTCTAAAGAAGGGATTGAAGACTAATTGAATGTAAATTTGTTTTCAATCCCTTTTTCTTTGGTGACTACTGGGCAAGGTTGGTCCCAAGGAAGTTAAAATGTTAACCTTCAACAAAATGTGTTAAAATATAGTAACTACACAATTCAGTTACCGAAGTGTTCCTGAATTAAAGTTCAAAACAACAATATCAATACCAAAATGAAATACGAGGACCCGTTTGTTAAAATAGATTCAAAAGAACACCGAAGCATAAATAATAAATGTTGAATAAACCTTTGTCTTAACACATAATTCTTTGTCACAACCATTGTAGCTACCGTTGCAAAACAACTAAATACACACAGTATAAGAAATGTGTAAGTCATTCAATACAAATATATCAAGCAATTTCACGATTTAAGAAGTAGCAATCATGAAATACAGCTAGCTTCCAAGTGCCTCTTGAACAATTTCTTGTAACAACCAACTGTCACCCCACTGATACAGTGACGTGTCACCCCACTGATACAATCACGTGTCACCCACTGATACAATCACGTGTCACCCACTGTTACAATCACGTGTCACCCACTGTTACAATCACGTGTCACCCACTGTTACAATCACGTGTCACCCACTGTTACAATCATGTGTCACCCCCTGTTACAATCACGTGTCACCCACTGTTACAATCACGTGTCACCCACTGATACAATCACGTGTCACCCACTGTTACAATTACATGTCACCCACTGTTACAATCACGTGTCACCCCACTGTTACAATCACCTGTCACCCCACTGTTACAATCACGTGTCACCCCACTTTTACAATCACGTGTGACCCCCTATCACAATCGCGTGTCACACCACCGTTACAATCACGTGTCACCCCACCTTTACAATCACGTGTCACCCTCTGTTACCCTGATAACACAAGCTGCCTGTGAGGCGCTAGAAGGTTAATATCCCACCGGGCACCCATTTCCTGCTGGGTGAACAGAGGCAATTTTGAACAAACTTACGTGCCTTAGGTGAGACCACATGTATCACATGTGCTTCGTTGTGGGCAGGACTCAAGTCCTAGAAACTCTCAGGTTTCAAGGTGTCAAGCGGTCACCCATACGGACTCTCCCCGCTCAAGGTTGCTTAGGTTCAACTGATTTGTGACCTGAACTCTATGCACAGGACCACACACCACTACAATTAGGTAGTAAATACTAACTTTATCTTCTAACCCATAAATACTCACAGGAATGGCAAAAGAGATACAAGTCCAAAACATGTTGATCATGAGTGCTTTATTACTACAGTGCACTCTGTCTAATTCGGACCAGCTTGGGACCGACTAAAAAGTCCGAATTATACAGTAGTCCGAAGTACACAGATTTTAATGGAGTTATCTCCCTATTATCAGCAGAATTAAAATTATAAACTATTTTTCGCAATGTTATTGAAAACAACGATTCTCGGACACACCAACAGATGAGAAAACTAAGTAGTGCAAATAATTTGCTTGGAAGCATGCATTATTTATAAAATGTAACCTCTTGACAAGCATTCAACGTATAATAACAAAATGAATAAGTTATGCTTTGTTATCATTTGGAATAGCTTCGGAAGAAAAGAACAACGTCACAAGACAAAAAGGCCAAACATGAAGTAGTTTGTTATTCCACATAATGTTTCATTGTTAAATGACCCCTTGTAAAATATGCAAACTTTGAAAAGTGCTATTAATGAAACAGAAGCATCTATCAATGTGTCTGTAAATATACCCACACAGAGACTGCACATGATCCACAATGAGGACTGTTTTCCCTTCAGGGATGAAACGCATGTTGGTGTGGACTAGCTGGGCGTCAGCAACAGTGGTGATGACAGGTATGTTGGTGTGGACTAGCTGGGCGTCAGCAACAGTGGTGATGACAGGTATGTTGGTGTGGACTAGCTGGGCGTCAGCAGCAGTGGTGATGACAGGTATGTTGGTGTGGACTAGCTGGGCGTCAGCAGCAGTGGTGATGACAGGTATGTTGGTGTGGACTAGCTGGGCGTCAGCAACAGTGGTGATGACAGGTATGTTGGTGTGGACTAGCTGGGCGTCAGCAACAGTGGTGATGACAGGTATGTTGGTGTGGACTAGCTGGGCGTCAGCAACAGTGGTGATGACAGGTATGTTGGTGTGGACTAGCTGGGCGTCAGCAACAGTGGTGATGACAGGTATGTTGGTGTGGACTAGCTGGGCGTCAGCAACAGTGGTGATGACAGGTATGTTGGTGTGGACTAGCTGGGCGTCAGCAGCAGTGGTGATGACAGGTATGTTGGTGTGGACTAGCTGGGCGTCAGCAACAGTGGTGATGACAGGTATGTTGGTGTGGACTAGCTGGGCGTCAGCAACAGTGGTGATGACAGGTATGTTGGTGTGGACTAGCTGGGCGTCAGCAACAGTGGTGATGACAGGTATGTTGGTGTGGACTAGCTGGGCGTCAGCAGCAGCAGTGGTGACAGGTATGTTGGTGTGGACTAGCTGGGCGTCAGCAACAGTGGTGATGACAGGTATGTTGGTGTGGACTAGCTGGGCGTCAGCAGCAGTGGTGATGACAGGTATGTATTTCTTAACAATATAATGGGATAACCTTTCTTTACACCCGTGCACTCTATTATTGCTGCACTTATGCACAAATATTTGATCTTACATACATGTTCAAGCAGTTAATATTTTGGTGATGAACAATTATTTAATATTCCAAACATACAAATGAACAATACACGCATGGACAAGTCATGTACAAATAGATATTTCACCCGGAAGGAACAAAACAAATGCAGAGACAGATCATCTGACATGCATACAGAAAATGTACCTTACACACTTATATGATATTTGACCTTATACTCGTGTACTGACAATTCATCTGTCAAACATATGCAAACAGTTCATTTGACAAACATGTTCAGGCAATTCTCCTGACATAAATTTTCAGACAATTCTCCTGACACACGTTCACACAATTCTCCTGACACACACGTTCAGACAATTCTCCTGACATACATTTTCAGACAATTCTCCTAACACACACATTTTCAGATAATTCTCCTGACACACACGTTCAGACAAATCTCCTGACACACATTTTCAGACAATTCTCCTGACACACACGTTCAGACAATTCTCCTGACACACACGTTCTGACAATTCTCCTGACATACACGTTCAGACAATTCTCCTGACACACACATTCAGACAATTTTCCTGACACACATTTTCAGACAATTCTCCTGACATACACGTTCAGACAACTCTTCTGACACACACGTTCAGACAAATCTCCTGACACACATTTTCAGACAATTCTCCTGACACACACGTTCTGACAATTCTCCTGACATACACGTTCAGACAATTCTCCTGACATACACGTTCAGACAATTCTCCTGACATACACGTTCAGACAAATCTCCTGACACACATTTTCAGACAATTCTCCTAACATACACGTTCAGACAATTCTCCTGACATACACGTTCAGACAAATCTCCTGACACACACATTCAGACAATTTTCCTGACACACACGTTCAGACAAATCTCCTGACACACATTTTCAGACAATTCTCCTGACACACACGTTCAGACAATTCTCCTGACACACACGTTCTGACAATTCTCCTGACATACACGTTCAGACAATTCTCCTGACACACACGTTCAGACAAATCTCCTGACACACATTTTCAGACAATTCTCCTGACATACACGTTCAGACAATTCTCCTGACACACACATTCAGACAAATCTCCTGACACACATTTTCAGACAATTCTCCTGACATACACGTTCAGACAATTCTCCTGACATACACGTTCAGACAATTCTCCTGACACACACATTCAGACAATTTTCCTGACACACATTTTCAGACAATTCTCATGACATACACGTTCAGACAATTCTTCTGACAATTCACACGTTCAGACAATTCTCCTGACACACACGTTCAGACAATTCTCCTGACACGTTCAGACACACGTTCAGACAATTCTCCTGACACACACGTTCAGACAATTCTCCTGACATACACATTCAGACAATTCTCCTGACAACATTCTCTGACAATACACGTTCAGACAATTCTCCTGACATACACGTTCAGACAATTCTCCTGACACACACATTCAGACAATTTTCCTGACACACATTTTCAGACAATTCTCCTGACATACACGTTCAGACAATTCTCCTGACACACACGTTCTGACAAATCTCCTGACACACATTTTCAGACAATTCTCCTGACACACGTTCTGACAATTCTCCTGACATACACATTCAGACAATTCTCCTGACATACACGTTCAGACAAATCTCCTGACACACATTTTCAGACAATTCTCCTGACATACACGTTCAGACAATTCTCCTGACACACACGTTCTGACAATTCTCCTGACATACACCTTTAGACAATTCTCCTGACACACACATTCAGACAATTTTCCTGACACACATTTTCAGACAATTCTCCTGACATACACGTTCAGACAATTCTCCTGACACACACGTTCAGACAAATCTCCTGACACACATTTTCAGACAATTCTCCTGACATACACGTTCAGACAATTCTCCTGACATACACGTTCAGACAGTTCTCCTGACACACACGTTCTGACAATTCTCCTGACACACATTTCCAGACAATTCTCCTGACACACACATTCAGACAATTTTCCTGACACACATTTTCTGACAATTCTCCTGACATACACGTTCAGACAATTCTCCTGACACACACGTTCAGACAATTCTCCTGACACACATTTTCAGACAATTCTCCTGACATACACGTTCAGACAATTCTCCTGACATACACGTTCAGACAAATCTCCTGACACACATTTTCAGACAATTCTCCTGACATACACGTTCAGACAATTCTCCTGACATACACGTTCAGACAATTCTCCTGACACACACGTTCAGACAAATCTCCTGACACACATTTTCAGACAATTCTCCTGACACACACGTTCTGACAATTCTCCTGACATACACGTTCAGACAAATCTCCTGACACACATTTTCAGACAATTCTCCTGACATACACGTTCAGACAATTCTCCTGACATACACATTCAGACAATTCTCCTGACACACATTTTCAGACAATTCTCCTCACATACACGTTCAGACAATTCTCCTGACACACACGTTCAGACAAATCTCCTGACACACATTTTCAGACAATTCTTCTGACACACACGTTCAGACAATTCTCCTGACACACACGTTCAGACAATTCTCCTGACACACACGTTCAGGCAATTCTCCTGTTATACACGTTCAGACAATTCTCCTGACATACACGTTCAGACAATTCTCCTGGCACACACGTTCAGACAATTCTCCTGGCACACACGTTCAGGCAATTCTCCTGGCACACACGTTCAGGCAATTCTCCTGGTATACACGTTCAGACAATTCTCCTGACATACACGTTCAGGCAATTCTCCTGGTACAAACGTTCAGACATTCTCCTGACATGCACGTTCCGACAATTCTCCTGACATACATGTTCAGACCATTCATCTGAAACACACGTTCAGACAATTCATGTGACACACACGTTCAGACCATTCATCTGACACACACGTTCAGACAATTCATCTGACACACATGTTCTGACAATTCATATGACATAAACGTTTAGACAATTCATCTGACACACACGTTCAGACAATTCATGTGACATACATGTTTAGACAATTCATGTGACACACACGTTCAGACAATTCATCTGACACACATGTTCTGACAATTCATATGACATAAACGTTTAGACAATTCATCTGACACACACGTTCAGACAATTCATGTGACATACATGTTTAGACAATTCATGTGACACACACGTTCAGACAATTCATGTGTCACACATTTTCAGACAATTCATCTGACACACACGTTCAGACAATTTATCTGACACACACATTCAGACAATTCATCTGACATACACGTTCAGACAATTTATCTGACACACGTTCAGACCATTCACCTGACACACACGTTCAGACAATTCATCTGACACACACGTTCAGACAATTCATCTGACACACGTTCAGACAATTATTCTGACACACACGTTCAGACAATTCATCTGACATACATGTTCAGACAATTCATCTGACATAAACGTTTAGACAATTCATCTGACACACACGTTGAGACAATTCATGTGACACACTCGTTCAGACAATTAATGTAACATACATGTTTAGACAATTCATGTGACACACACGTTCAGACAATTCATCTGTCACACACGTTCAGACAATTCATCTGACACACACGTTCATACAATTTATCTGACACACACGTTCAGACAATTCATCTGACATACACGTTCAGACAATTTATCTGACACAAACGTTCAGACCATTCATCTGACACACACGTTCAGACAATTCATCTGACACACGTTCAGACAATTAATCTGACACTCACGTTCAGACAATTCATCTGATATACATGTTCAGACAATTCATCTGACATACACGTTCAGACAATTCATCTGACCATTTAACTAAGACATGCAAATATAGTTTTCCACACGTGCAGATGCAAAGTCATGCTATGCTAATGTTAAAAAATAGTTTTCCACAAGTGCAAAGGCAATCTTGTACACATGTACGTGTAATTAGTATGTTACACATGTACAAGCAATGTATCGTATTAGGAATAGAATGTATTTAGGAATAGGCAGTAAGCGTTACTTTTCTCCACAGTTTATAAATGTAATCTTTTATATTTAGCTATCAGAAAACTCGTAGCACCGAGGGATAATAATGGGAGTTTCGTTGTGTTCATTGTAAATTCCTGCACCC